GATTTCTCATTTTGGTCTTCAAAGGTTCAGACCAAATGATATCGCTTGCTTGGTCGTCCAGCCTTATAGCCTAAGCTATCTTGATATTAATTATCTAACCTCATAAATGTGTTGGTTTGATCGGCTATACTTTTTTNTTCTCTTGCCGCTCTTCATCTCTTCTTCAAGTTCAAAGGCTCCCTTTCAGTCTTTATGTGCTTTCATTCTTAGGCTTGGTTCTCGTTCGTTTGATCTTCAAATTCTGGTTGATTCATCTCTTCGTTTCAATGTGTCGGTGCTTTAATTTACTAGTTTAATGTTATAAGTGTTTGATGTGGGTTTTTGATTTTGATGTATATTATTTGTTGGATCTTCAACGAAAATGAAGAACCATTGTATCTTCAATGGAAATGGAGATCCGTTGGATCTTCAACGAAAATGAAGATCCGTTGAATCTTCAACGAAAATGGAGATCCGTTGGATCTTCAACGGATGTCAATATTCGTCAATAGATATCGATATCCGTTGAAGGCCCAATGAATCTCCCATTTTCGTTGACGCCTTCAACGATTTCTTTTTATTTTTTAACCTTTTATAAGGGACAAATGTGGAATGAGGTGGTGAAGGAAAAATCATGTGGTGGTGTAAGGAGAAACCCTTTTGCAAGAGCTGTAAACAAATAACAGACAACATAAATAAAATTAACAAAATTAAGAAAAACTAACACTAAATAAAGTTAAATATAGAGCAGAAAACTCATTGTCATGCTCCTCGTAGTTTTATGCTAGGAAAGTATTTTGTATTGTATGGATACTCATCAGACCAATGAACCAGGCGGGCAAGCAATTAACAACTCTGTAACCGATTGGTAAAGACAGTCGTTAAGGTAATTAAAGGGTAATCAATCATAATAATAATCATTGATTGACACTTAATGGAATAATGAAAGTTGAAAAACTCATTTTAAATATATGTTTAAAAGAGGGTCATGTAACTAATTATGAGGAGTCATGTTTATTAAACATTATTAAACCAAGTTACTGACTTGAGCGTCGGAGTGTCTTCTGCAGACACCCTCCCCCGCGGCTAGGATAAGGAGAAGAGAAAGAATAGCGCAACTGGATGATGAAGTGGATAACTTTGAATGCTTCGGGTTAGGGATCTCAACCCTACCGAACCATTCTAACTTTTCAATCCTTACGTCCTTCTGCACATCCTAATTTTGCGTCTTCTTGGTTTTCCTCTTCTGATGTTTCGATGTCCAGAGTCTTGCCCGATGATTATTCATGGCTTTCGGACTTCTTTGTCGGTGCTTTTTGATTTGGAATGGTCGGAGACGCTTATGCGGATAATGCAATTGTGGATGTCCAAAAAAGAGCCAAGAAGGAACGCCAGCAAATTGAGGAGTTAATTAGAAGTAGAGGAATTCGTCACATTGATTTGGGTGCATTCTACTCTTTGTGTCTTGAAAATAAAATAAAAAAGAATTCACAATCACTATGCTCTAGTTTCGATGATGCGATCTTCAGGTTCTGTCACTATAATGGAAATAGGCTTAAATATTTACTTTGTCCTCATGTTAAGAGGTGAATTTATGTTTAGTACCTAGTTTTAAAAGTGAAGACATTGAGTCCCAAAATTGTAAAAATTGTATGAATAAAGTCTTATCCGTTAAGTTGGTAGGAATGACGTTCACTTCACGCTTACGTGGCTACACTTTTTTTCTCTCTCCTCTGCTCTTCCGGCCACCTTTTCCTCTCTCTTTTCTATTTCTCTCACCATTAACTAAAAGTAGAAAGTGAGAGATCTATAAGTTCGGCGGAGAGGGCAAGTCGAGCTTGGAAATGTCAACAAAAAGTGAGACCAGCGATGGTGGTTGGAATCTGGCCGGAGAAGGCGTTGGCGGAGAGGTCAACGTACTTGAGATGTAGGGAAAGTTCGGCGGAAGGCAAGTCGAGCTTGGAAATGTCGAGTTCGTCGGAGTTGGATGGTTCGACATGGAGAGAATCGGAGGAGTGTTCCAATTGGTGGTCGGTTTGGTCAAAGTGGCGGTTGAGTCCTTTGAAGGCTTCTTCACTTAGGAGGGAGGAATTGGGCGTGGTGATGGCGGAGGGGAGGAAAGTGGGAGTGGGCTTTAGGCCTGTTTTGAAGGTGGGCCTAGGGGAGTGGTGGTGTGCTCGGAGGAGGTTGTTGAAGTGAGACTTGGAGTCCAAACATTGCAATCTAACAGAGGAAGTGGAAGTAGTGTTTGGCCTCTAGTAGTGTTCGAGAGCAGGCGTTTGGTAAATGGAAGAAACGCCTATGAGAGACACCATTTTTGGAGAGGAAGAGATAAAGTGAGTGAGGAAGATGATAAGGGACAATGGTGAGAGGCCACGTTGTACGGGAATGAATGTATGGCCTTTCCAACCTCCACCTTGCTCTGCTTCCTCCAGATATATAAGCTCTCCATTATTAGATATTTTTCATTTTCAAAATTCCCCTTATCCTTTCATTCTGTCTAAATTTTCCTTCCTAAACAGATTATATGAATATTACAAGTTGGAAAAAGCTGTGATATATGATTCTGTAGAGGAAGATTATTTTTTTGGATGCCATGATGAAGACCTAGAATAGTCCATCCTATAAAATTCTAAATTCCCTCTAATTTACTTTAGATAAATTTACAAAAGAATTGGTACAAAAGAATTGGCCAGATTCCAACCACCATCGTCGGTCTTTTCGAGCTTCAGCTTATAGTTCTCTCACTTTCTGCTTTTAGTTAATGGTGAGAGAAATAGAAAAGAGAGAGAAAAAGGTGACAGGAAGAGTAGAGGAGAGAGAGAAAAGGGTAGTAAGCGTGAAGTTAACATCGTTCCTACTAACTTAACGGATAGGACTTTATTCATACAATTTTTACAATTTTGGGACTTAATGTCTTCACTTTTAAAACTGGGTACTAAACAGAAATTCACCTCTTAATATAAGGACGAAGTAAACATTTAAGCCATGGAAATAAAAACTATATCTAATGGTGGAGTCACAATTATAAGTTGTTAAGTTTCAAATTCCTCATGGTTGTGATATTTCACAACTTATTACAAATCTTACTACACGTCTTGGAACGAAGGCTGAAGTCCATGGAGGTGGTTTAGACCTGTTATTATGAGCTTGGAACAGCCAGTTGCTTGGCAACTTACCCTTCCATCAGAAGAAAAACATATTCCAGGGGATGGCATGTCATCGAATGATATAAATGTAGAAGATACAAATCTATGTATACTCTTCTTTCATTCTCTCGTTGGCTCAGATAAGGCTGAAATTGAATTCATTAAGCAAGGGGAATTAAGTCCTGAAGAGGTTGATGCTTTCATATCTTTTTACAATTAGCTAGTTACAAGTTGGGACAAAAAAGCACCCTAGAAAGAAAACCAAAGGAAGAGACTGAAAAAGTACATCGAAAGATGCTGAGATATCATGGGACAACATTGCTGGTTATGAAGATAAAAAAAAATCACAAGGCATTAAGCACTAATGTCTCAGCCATGACACATCCTAATATGGATTTCTCAGTTTGGTCTTCAAAAGTTCAATCAAAGACAGACCAAATGATATCGCTTGCTTGGTCGTCCAGCCTTATAGCCTAAGCTATCTTGATATTAATTATCTAACCTCATAAATGTGTTGGTTTGATCGACTATACTTTTTCTGACAATTCAAATTCGAATTGTTATTTTTCTTCAGTATAGATAACAAGACTCTGCATACAAATCACTTGGCCAACTAGAGCTTGTCGCTCGGTGAGGAACGCTTTCGTAGCTCTCACCTGAGCTTCTTCGACCTAGGGAACACTTTCATAACTCCTAGAGTCCCCCGCTCGATGAGAAACGTTCTTCGTGAACTCTCACTTGAGTCTCTTTGACCCAGGGAATGCTTTCGTAGCTCTCACCTGAGCTTCTTCGACCTAGGGAACACTTTCATAACTCCTAGAGCCCCCCGCTCGGTGAGGAACGTTCTTCGTGAACTCTCACTTAAGCCTCTTTGACCCAGGGAATGCTTTCGTAGCTCTTAGAGTCCCCCGCTCGGTGAGGAACATTTTTCGTAACTCTCACCTGAGCCTCTTCGACCTAGGGAACGTTCTAAGTGAACTTCTAGAGTTCATCGCTTGATAAAGAAAGGAGCGAAGACTTAAAGCGCATAAAAATACTCAAGCTCATAATAATCCATGCACAATTCTATACAAAGAAGTTGTTTGGGCTCGGAGGGCTTGTGTATTGTATGGATACTCGCTAGGCCAATGGACCAGGCGTGCAAACAATTAACAATTCAGTAACCGATCGGTAAAGACAGCTGTTAAGATAATTAAAGGGTAATCAATAATAATAACAACCATTGATTGACAATTAATAGAATAATGCAAGTTGATAAGCTCATTTTAAATATATCTTTAATAGAGGGTCAGGTAACTAGTTATAAGGACTCATGTTGATTAAATATTATTAAACCAAGTTACTGACTTGAACGTTAGTGTCTTCTGCAGACACCCTTTCTCGTGGCTAGGACAAGGAGATAAAAGATAATAACGCAACTGAATGATAGAAGAAACAACTTTGAATACTTTGAGTTAGAGATCTCAACCCTACCTAAACATCTTTTATATTTTTATGTAAGAATCTCATCACTTTTTATCTACCGCATAGTAAATAAATAGAAACAAACACATTCTACATATGTTGAATCAAACTCACAAATAATAAACCAAAGTACTAAAGAAACCTTATTTTTAAGTATAAAGATGTGAATTGGTTTTATTTTATTTTTATAAAAACTTAAAATCAATGTCTTTATAAACTTAAATGAAATTTAAATTTATTTGAAGTGGTTAAAATATTATTCAAACTTAATATTTCTCATCTATCTAAGAAAGCTCGACATGACTGAAATCACTACCGTTATTTTTTCATTCCTAATTTCCTTTCCGCAAAAAGTATATATTAACGGTCAGAATGCGACGAATTGCCACCTCCTCCACGCCATTCTTTTCTTTCATTTTACCGTTAACGGGAATCAGAAGAGAAGGCAATTCCCCTTTCAAAAGGCATAACCTAGAGAGAACAGTACACACACAACACAACATCCAAAAAGGCCACGTTAAGAAAATAAAAAACATATGTTAGAAGGAAAAAGAAATCACCGAACTAACCCCATGTGCCCTTTCTTCCAAGACATCCAAAGCACATTCCCACCACCATCATTCAGTACCGCACCAACAAACACTATAGCAGAATTGAATTAAACCTTTCACTCCAAATCCCTTTCTAATTCCCCAACCACGATGCCTGAAATGGACGGTTCCTCTGCCAAACCCCCACAAATCTCAGAAATGTTCCAGAAATTCGCCCTCGCTTTCAAGACCAAAACCTTTGAATTCTTCTCCGACGAAAACGCTTCTCCCCTTGACGACATCGACGGTTTCTCTCTCCTTGACTCCACCGAAGAGATCATCCCCGACCAAAAAGTCGTCGTCATCAAGCCCGACCCCGATCCCTCCCACAATTTTTCTCCGCCGCCGCGCTCTCCGCCTCCACAATCCCCGCTTGAATCTCAAAATCCTCCGCCGCGATCTCCGCCTTTACAATCCCCGCTGGAATCTCGAAACCCCCCGCCGCAGATCACTCCTCCGGCCCCCAAATCTCCCGAGCCCGAAAAGGCGCCGGCGTTAACCGAAGCTCAGATCAAAGAAACGGCACACGCCCTGATCTCTTCGGTCTTCGCTGCCGTCTCCGCCTTCGAAGCTTCCTACTTCCAGCTCCAGAGCGCGCACGTGCCGTTCGTGGAGGAGCAAGTAACGAGTGCAGACAAGGTGTTGGTTTCGCATCTGCAGAGGCTGTCGGAGCTGAAGAAATTTTACCTCGCTCCCGAACATCGTGGATTTCCATTCGGTTCGTGTTTGGAAGCTGAAGTGGAGGAGAATCAGAGCAAATTGAGAACCCTCGGCACCGTCTCGAACCGCTTGCAATGGGAGCTGGAGCAGAAGCATGACGAGGTGGTAGCCCTAAGAGCCAAACTGGACGAGTTTCACAGGGGTAACGTGAATTTGTCTAAGAAGCTTTGTGCTAGCGCTTTGAACCCCTCTTCTGATGTTTTGTTAACTGTTAAGGTGTTCGATTTATTGCTGCACGATGCTTCTAGAGCGACACATCGGTTTACCAAGATTTTAATCGGTTTGATGAGGAAAGCAGGGTGGGATTTGGGCTTAGCGGCCAATGCTGTTCATCCCAATGTTGATTATGCCAAGAAAGGTCACAACCAGTACGCGCTTCTGTCCTACGTTTGTTTAGGGATGTTTCATGGTTTTGACTCCTTAGATTTTGGAATGAAAGAAACAGTGTCCAACGAACACGTTTGTTCGGATGTGGACAAAAGAGACAGTTGTTTGAAGCAACTGCTTGAGCATGTGTCTAGCAATCCCATGGATTTGTTGGGTATTCACCCTGGTTGTGAGTTTTCGCGGTTCTGTGAGCACAAGTATGAGAGGCTCATCCATCCATCGATGGAGTCGTCCATTTTTGTCAATTTGGAGGAGAAGGAGGCTGTGTTGAACTCGTGGCGGTCCTTGAGTATGTTTTATGAGGCGTTTGTTGGAATGGCCAGTGCCGTTTGGACACTTCATAAGTTGTCCTACACGTTTGAACCCGCAGTCGAGATTTTTCAAGTGGAAAGAGGAGTGGAGTTTTCTATGATATACATGGAAGATGTAACAAAGAGGTTGACCTGGCCAAACAAGGGAAGGGCCAAGGTGGGATTCACTGTGCTTCCTGGTTTTAAAATTGGCACGGTAGTTATTCAATCGCAGGTTTATATAGGTACTTTCAGATGTACAGACAAGTCTAACCAGAGTTCTTCTTGAAGTTGTGGGCAGTGTTTTATGAGACTACTATGTGCAGGAGTCAAATGAATCCTGTTGATATTTCTAGTGTTGGGGTTTGTGTCTCCCCTTGAGTGAAACATACCACTGTTTTGCCAGAATTTATCTAAAGACACGCCTGGATTGGAAAGACGATGCCTATGTTGCCCTATATTCCTAATGATGTTTGCTTCTTTGTTTGATACTGAAGCAGGAGCAGTAACAGATTTCAAGTTCAGTATTTGGTGCCAATACAATGAGGATCAGTAGTATTTTTGTTGGTATTTGTTTATCTCTTTCTGCTTTCCTCCCAGTTTTGCTTCATGGTTGTTTTAGGTCACTTGTGTAGATTTAACTGTACAGAATATTCCTCTCATTCTCGGTACAATAACAACAAATACATCAGTAAATTGTGCATGTATCACTTGTAATGTAAAATTTCCTCTCATTACTTATATATGACAAATGACATTGGTTTTCTCAATACTCAATAGAAATTATTTGTCTCTCCAGTCTCCAGAATATTCTAAAATATATTTGTAATGTAAAATTTCTCTTAGAATGGATGAGTGTTGTCTCCTCAAATCAGTTCAATTGATTAAGCTGCAGACATGAATTGTGAGTGCACAGGTACGATCTCCTACACTATCCCCATTGGAACTGTTATTTANGGAGGAATTGGGCGTGGTGATGGCGGAGGGGAGGAAAGTGGGAGTGGGCTTTAGGCCTGTTTTGAAGGTGGGCCTAGGGGAGTGGTGGTGTGCTCGGAGGAGGTTGTTGAAGTGAGACTTGGAGTCCAAACATTGCAATCTAACAGAGGAAGTGGAAGTAGTGTTTGGCCTCTAGTAGTGTTCGAGAGCAGGCGTTTGGTAAATGGAAGAAACGCCTATGAGAGACACCATTTTTGGAGAGGAAGAGATAAAGTGAGTGAGGAAGATGATAAGGGACAATGGTGAGAGGCCACGTTGTACGGGAATGAATGTATGGCCTTTCCAACCTCCACCTTGCTCTGCTTCCTCCAGATATATAAGCTCTCCATTATTAGATATTTTTCATTTTCAAAATTCCCCTTATCCTTTCATTCTGTCTAAATTTTCCTTCCTAAACAGATTATATGAATATTACAAGTTGGAAAAAGCTGTGATATATGATTCTGTAGAGGAAGATTATTTTTTTGGATGCCATGATGAAGACCTAGAATAGTCCATCCTATAAAATTCTAAATTCCCTCTAATTTACTTTAGATAAATTTACAAAAGAATTGGTACAAAAGAATTGGCCAGATTCCAACCACCATCGTCGGTCTTTTCGAGCTTCAGCTTATAGTTCTCTCACTTTCTGCTTTTAGTTAATGGTGAGAGAAATAGAAAAGAGAGAGAAAAAGGTGACAGGAAGAGTAGAGGAGAGAGAGAAAAGGGTAGTAAGCGTGAAGTTAACATCGTTCCTACTAACTTAACGGATAGGACTTTATTCATACAATTTTTACAATTTTGGGACTTAATGTCTTCACTTTTAAAACTGGGTACTAAACAGAAATTCACCTCTTAATATAAGGACGAAGTAAACATTTAAGCCATGGAAATAAAAACTATATCTAATGGTGGAGTCACAATTATAAGTTGTTAAGTTTCAAATTCCTCATGGTTGTGATATTTCACAACTTATTACAAATCTTACTACACGTCTTGGAACGAAGGCTGAAGTCCATGGAGGTGGTTTAGACCTGTTATTATGAGCTTGGAACAGCCAGTTGCTTGGCAACTTACCCTTCCATCAGAAGAAAAACATATTCCAGGGGATGGCATGTCATCGAATGATATAAATGTAGAAGATACAAATCTATGTATACTCTTCTTTCATTCTCTCGTTGGCTCAGATAAGGCTGAAATTGAATTCATTAAGCAAGGGGAATTAAGTCCTGAAGAGGTTGATGCTTTCATATCTTTTTACAATTAGCTAGTTACAAGTTGGGACAAAAAAGCACCCTAGAAAGAAAACCAAAGGAAGAGACTGAAAAAGTACATCGAAAGATGCTGAGATATCATGGGACAACATTGCTGGTTATGAAGATAAAAAAAAATCACAAGGCATTAAGCACTAATGTCTCAGCCATGACACATCCTAATATGGATTTCTCAGTTTGGTCTTCAAAAGTTCAATCAAAGACAGACCAAATGATATCGCTTGCTTGGTCGTCCAGCCTTATAGCCTAAGCTATCTTGATATTAATTATCTAACCTCATAAATGTGTTGGTTTGATCGACTATACTTTTTCTGACAATTCAAATTCGAATTGTTATTTTTCTTCAGTATAGATAACAAGACTCTGCATACAAATCACTTGGCCAACTAGAGCTTGTCGCTCGGTGAGGAACGCTTTCGTAGCTCTCACCTGAGCTTCTTCGACCTAGGGAACACTTTCATAACTCCTAGAGTCCCCCGCTCGATGAGAAACGTTCTTCGTGAACTCTCACTTGAGTCTCTTTGACCCAGGGAATGCTTTCGTAGCTCTCACCTGAGCTTCTTCGACCTAGGGAACACTTTCATAACTCCTAGAGCCCCCCGCTCGGTGAGGAACGTTCTTCGTGAACTCTCACTTAAGCCTCTTTGACCCAGGGAATGCTTTCGTAGCTCTTAGAGTCCCCCGCTCGGTGAGGAACATTTTTCGTAACTCTCACCTGAGCCTCTTCGACCTAGGGAACGTTCTAAGTGAACTTCTAGAGTTCATCGCTTGATAAAGAAAGGAGCGAAGACTTAAAGCGCATAAAAATACTCAAGCTCATAATAATCCATGCACAATTCTATACAAAGAAGTTGTTTGGGCTCGGAGGGCTTGTGTATTGTATGGATACTCGCTAGGCCAATGGACCAGGCGTGCAAACAATTAACAATTCAGTAACCGATCGGTAAAGACAGCTGTTAAGATAATTAAAGGGTAATCAATAATAATAACAACCATTGATTGACAATTAATAGAATAATGCAAGTTGATAAGCTCATTTTAAATATATCTTTAATAGAGGGTCAGGTAACTAGTTATAAGGACTCATGTTGATTAAATATTATTAAACCAAGTTACTGACTTGAACGTTAGTGTCTTCTGCAGACACCCTTTCTCGTGGCTAGGACAAGGAGATAAAAGATAATAACGCAACTGAATGATAGAAGAAACAACTTTGAATACTTTGAGTTAGAGATCTCAACCCTACCTAAACATCTTTTATATTTTTATGTAAGAATCTCATCACTTTTTATCTACCGCATAGTAAATAAATAGAAACAAACACATTCTACATATGTTGAATCAAACTCACAAATAATAAACCAAAGTACTAAAGAAACCTTATTTTTAAGTATAAAGATGTGAATTGGTTTTATTTTATTTTTATAAAAACTTAAAATCAATGTCTTTATAAACTTAAATGAAATTTAAATTTATTTGAAGTGGTTAAAATATTATTCAAACTTAATATTTCTCATCTATCTAAGAAAGCTCGACATGACTGAAATCACTACCGTTATTTTTTCATTCCTAATTTCCTTTCCGCAAAAAGTATATATTAACGGTCAGAATGCGACGAATTGCCACCTCCTCCACGCCATTCTTTTCTTTCATTTTACCGTTAACGGGAATCAGAAGAGAAGGCAATTCCCCTTTCAAAAGGCATAACCTAGAGAGAACAGTACACACACAACACAACATCCAAAAAGGCCACGTTAAGAAAATAAAAAACATATGTTAGAAGGAAAAAGAAATCACCGAACTAACCCCATGTGCCCTTTCTTCCAAGACATCCAAAGCACATTCCCACCACCATCATTCAGTACCGCACCAACAAACACTATAGCAGAATTGAATTAAACCTTTCACTCCAAATCCCTTTCTAATTCCCCAACCACGATGCCTGAAATGGATGGTTCCTCTGCCAAACCCCCACAAATCTCAGAAATGTTCCAGAAATTCGCCCTCGCTTTCAAGACCAAAACCTTTGAATTCTTCTCCGACGAAAACGCTTCTCCCCTTGACGACATCGACGGTTTCTCTCTCCTTGACTCCACAGAAGAGATCATCCCCGACCAAAAAGTCGTCGTCATCAAGCCCGACCCCGATCCCTCCCACAATTTTTCTCCGCCGCCGCGCTCTCCGCCTCCACAATCCCCGCCGGAATCTCAAAATCCGCCGCCGCGATCTCCGCCTTTACAATCCCCGCTGGAATCTCGAAACCCCCCGCCGCAGATCACTCCTCCGGCCCCCAAATCTCCCGAGCCCGAAAAGGCGCCGGCGTTAACCGAAGCTCAGATCAAAGAAACGGCACACGCCCTGATCTCTTCGGTCTTCGCTGCCGTCTCCGCCTTCGAAGCTTCCTACTTCCAGCTCCAGAGCGCGCACGTGCCGTTCGTGGAGGAGCAAGTAACGAGTGCAGACAAGGTGTTGGTTTCGCATCTGCAGAGGCTGTCGGAGCTGAAGAAATTTTACCTCGCTCCCGAACATCGTGGATTTCCATTCGGTTCGTGTTTGGAAGCTGAAGTGGAGGAGAATCAGAGCAAATTGAGAACCCTCGGCACCGTCTCGAACCGCTTGCAATGGGAGCTGGAGCAGAAGCATGACGAGGTGGTAGCCCTAAGAGCCAAACTGGACGAGTTTCACAGGGGTAACGTGAATTTGTCTAAGAAGCTTTGTGCTAGCGCTTTGAACCCCTCTTCTGATGTTTTGTTAACTGTTAAGGTGTTCGATTTATTGCTGCACGATGCTTCTAGAGCGACACATCGGTTTACCAAGATTTTAATCGGTTTGATGAGGAAAGCAGGGTGGGATTTGGGCTTAGCGGCCAATGCTGTTCATCCCAATGTTGATTATGCCAAGAAAGGTCACAACCAGTACGCGCTTCTGTCCTACGTTTGTTTAGGGATGTTTCATGGTTTTGACTCCTTAGATTTTGGAATGAAAGAAACAGTGTCCAACGAACACGTTTGTTCGGATGTGGACAAAAGAGACAGTTGTTTGAAGCAA